TGGAGACCCTCAGTTACTCCCCCTCCGCCTATTCTCCTTGAGGGGGATGAACATTTTGAGATTGCTGATATCCTTGATTCCAGACTTAAGCGTGGTAAGCTCTGGTACCTCATCGAATGGATAGACTTCGGACCCCAGCACCGCGAATGGGTGGAAGAAGGGGATATTCGGGCCCCTTATCTGCTTCGTGAGTTCCACAGGAAGTTCCCGGACAAACCGGGAGGTCTCCCGCCCAACCCGGGAGTTCTCCCGCCCTGCCCGGGAGACGGTGGTTAATGTGTATTTTCGAGGGGGCAGTATGTCAGCGAGCTGCCATGGTGTTCTGTGTTAGTTGTATCTCTGTACAGTTGCTAACCCCCCCCTGCCTGTGCGCCTGTATTTTACTCTGCTGTAATGCCTAAGCCAAACAACTGGAGGATGTAATGGGGGAGTATGCTTGACTGCCAGCTTGTTGCTTTTAGAGCCTGGGAACTGCACCTGTATTATGTCTGGAGATAGCCTGGTTCTCAGGGAATGAGCGCGCAACCGTTTCCTTTCACCCGCCAGCGGGAAAGTGACCCATTGGTCCTGTACCTGGTTCAAATCCCTTTATCATGTTTGCCCTAACCGTTTGTAGTCAGTTCTAACAAAGAACGTGTTTGAGTGTCTTTCCAAAGCTTTGAAATAAATGTTGCTTTTCTTTAAAACGTGGATTTATTCTCGATGCTTGGGGATCCAACAGGCCCCCCTCCAAGCACCAAGAACACAGAGCATCACTACCCCAAACATAAGAACATAAGAGAAGCCATGTTGGATCAGGCCAATAGCCCATCCAGTCCAACACACTGTGTCACACAGCGGCCAAACCCCAGGTGCCATCAGGAAGTCCACCAGTGGGGCTAGAACACCAGAAGCCCACCCATGTTTGCCCCCCAAGCACCAAGAAGACAGAGCATCACTTGCCCCAGATATACAATTCCATCTGTTCCACACAGCAGTACCCTCCACCGAGAGCCCAAGAAGAAGAAGAAGAAGAAGAGGAGAGAAACTTCTCTTCTCCAAGGACAGCTGTGCCAGAGCTTGTGACTGACCCAAGGTCACATCAGCAGGTGCAAGTGGCGGAGTTGGGAATCAAACCCGGTTCTCCCAGATTAGAGTCCGCGCACTTAACCACTACACCAAACTGGCTCTTGGACTTCAAGAGAACATGCCAGAGGCCCTGCTGCTGGTCTGTGTTACAGACAGCATGCAAAGAGAGCCCTTCTTAATGTGGACCCTGAAGTGGGCTGTGGAGTGCCTGAGTCTCAAATGCCAGGAGAACACTTGGGAAACATACAGTGAGTTCCTGCCTCTGGCCTCCACAGTCTGGACTTCTGCCCTGGGTATATTTATGAGGAGATGGCCAGCAAGATATACCAAAGAAGGAATCATACCAGTGGAAAGGAACTGAATCACTTATAATCTGAACAGCTAGTTTTATTATCTAATTTAATGGATTTGCTTTAATTTATGAAGAGGAGGAGGAGGAGGAAGAAGAAGGAGGGGGGGGGAGAAGGGAAGGGAGGAGGGGAGCGAGGAGGAGGAGACGGATTAATACCCTGCCCTTCATTAGGAGTCTCAGAGGGGCTTACAATCTCCTTCCCTTCCACTCCTCACAACAGTCACCTTGTGAGGTAGCTGGGCCTGAGAGAGTTCTGGGAGAATTAGGAGTGGCCAAGGTCACAAGGCTTCATGTGGGGGAGGAGTGAGGAATCAAACCCGGCTCTCCAGTTTAGAAGAAGAGCTGGTTTTTATACCTCACTTTTCTCGATATGAAGGAGTCTCAAAGCAGCTTACAACGGCCTTCCCTTCCTCTCCCCACAACAGGCATCTTGTGAGGTAGGTGGGGCTGAGAGAGTTCGGAGAGAACCGTGACTGGCCCAAGGTCACCCAGCTGGCTGCATGTGACGGAAAAGTGGGGAATCAAACCTGGTTCCCCAGAGTAGAGTCCATTGCTCTTAACCACTACACCAAACGGGCTCTCTTGGGATCATTGAAAGTCTCACACTTGTTGTCCTTTAAATCTTCACTTTTAAGTATTAGCTTTCCTTATTGAAACATTTTCAGACAAGCTGCAATTAAAGGGTTGTCGTGTAATTGTCAGGAGAAGAATTTAATTGTTAATGTGCAATCTGGGGGCTTGTAATAAGCATTTGGTAACCTCTGTATAATACCTGTAAGTGGGCACTCTAAGTTTTTTGAGGACTGAGTTGTTGATCTGTACCAAAGCTCTTCTACAATTCAAACAACCTTCGTTTTGGAATCAGCTGATACAGCCTTTATTGGTATTATTAGGTCTTGTGATAATCTGTTTTATGAACAATGACATAAGATTCATTTGTTACAGTTTGAAATAGGTTGGTTCATCTTCGAGTCAAATTTATGAAAAGGGGCATTAAGCTCTATTTAATGAAGATCACGAACCCCACCCTTCACACAGAGTCTCAGAGTGGCTTACAATCTCCTTTCCCTTCCCCTCCTCACAACAGACACCCTGTGAGGTAGGTGGGGCTGAGAGAGCTCTTTCCAGAACTCCCCTTGAGAGAACAGCTCTGAAAGAACTGTGACTGACCCAAGGTCACAACAGCAGCTGCATGTGGAGGAGTGGGAAATCAAATCCAGTTCTCCCAGATTAGAGTTCACACTCTTAACCACTACACCAAACAGAACTTGATAAAGAATTTACAGATAAAACAGACTTGAAGAAGCTTTTTGGTTATCTGAAAAATGGCTTCGGCAATCAGGAAAATATATCAGAGAGGATGTTAAGGATTTGGCTGATCACAGTGTTTTCATATTTACAGTATTCACATGGTTGGCTTTATGATGCTCAACAAAATTTGGCCTTGTATAGAAACTTGCCCCACAGTACACACATTTGTAGGGCTTCTCTCCTCTATGGGTTTTCTGGTGTCTAACGAGATTGGACTTCAAGTTACACCTTTGCCCGCACTCCGAGCACTGATATGGTTTCTCTCCCGTGTGAGTCCTCTGATGTCTAAGAAGACGTGAACTACAAGTGAAGCTCTTGCCACAGTCCGAGCATTCATAGGGCTTCTCTCCCGTGTGGATTCTCTGATGCACGCGGAGCTGAGAACTCACACTGAAGAATTTGCCGCAGTCCGAGCACCAGTATGGCTTTTCTCCCGTGTGAGTTCTCTGGTGGGCAATAAGAATTGAACTCAAACGGAAGCTTTTCCCACAGTCCACACAGATGTATGGCTTCTCACCCGTATGGATCCTCTGATGGCTAAGGAGGTCCGAACTACAAGGGAAGCTCTTTCCACAGTCCACACAATTATATGGCTTCTCCCCTATGTGGATCCGCCGATGTCGAACGAGGTTTGAGCTGCATGTGAAGCTCTTCCCACAATCCACACAATTGTAGGCAGGTTTTCCTTTGTAGGTTTTTGGGCGTGCTTTGAGGCTAGGTCTCAAGCAGATGCTTTTAGGACAGTCCACATGTTTGTAAGGTTTCTCAACAGTGTGCGCTCTCTTGTGAGCGCCGAGGCTCGATCTCACCACGAAGCTTTCCCCACAATCCAAGCATTTGTATGGCCTCTCTCCTGTACGGGTCCTACTGTGTTTAATAAGTACGGGACTGAAGTGGCTCCCACAGTCGAAGCACCAGTATGACTTCTCTCCTGTGTGGATTTTCTCATCAGCCATGAGGTCGGAGGTGTTGCTGGAGGGCTTCCCACACCTGCTGCACATTACGTGCCCCTTCCCAGAGCTTTTGTCATTCAGCGCACGAAGAACTGTCTTACTTTGATTCCTTCCTGCAGGGATTTTCTCCTGTATTTCAGTTTTCACGTCTTCCGAAAACCCATCGTGCTCAGAAACTCGGAGAACTTCGCCGTCTGTTCTTCTTAACAATCCCCCAGGCGATTCTACTAGTTCAGTGCCTTCTGCGCTCAGAGTTTTTCCATCTTCTTCCTTTTCAGCCACCCACACTGGACCTGCCAAAACAAGGGGAGAATAAAGATAGGTGTGTGACGCCCATGGACATGCAGACAATTGAGTCTCCTATTCGCCGTTTTGTTTGAATAACAAAAATAGAAGCAAAAAAATGTTCCGACAATAACATGCTGGCAGAACAAAATCTGGGAATGCTTTATTTATGGGCGCACCTCTTATAACTCCTCAGCCGTGCAGTCAGAGAAATACCAAAAGTGGTTTCAGGCAGTATGGTTTCCTATTATTAACTATTTAGAAAATAAACAGTCCCAAAAAACTCACTATACAAGAAGCTGTTGTTCTTTTAACTGTCTGGTAGTTTAGTCTGTATAAATGTTTGACTTTTCTGTGATACTGTGGGAGTTATGTAAGAAAAGCTGTTTAATTGAGTCGGGAGTTGCTCTTTGTGTCTAATCTTGTCGTGATTCCGCTGTGAAAAATTAATAAAAACAAATATTAGGAAAAAAATATTCTCCGTTTGAGTTATCGGGTTCTCAGAGGAATGAATTTACTATAAGTTCCAGTGGGCTGAAAATATTACCGCACTGATTTGTCCACTGATGGATTCAGCTGACACAGTCAAAAAGGGGGGTCGATCTAGATGATTTCCATTTTCTAAGAAATCTGTAAGAAGTGGTAAACAATCTCTGGACTATACCACCGCAGACTGCATGTTTCAGTTTCACTGCCGTACAGACAAAGGGAAATGAATAACCTTCCCTGTAATTAGAAAACTACTAGCTCAAGAAAAAGGCTGGGCCAGAATCCTTCTCCATGGCATGCTGAGGTTCTACATCCAGTGAACTTTTCTGCTGGAGAAGCATTTGATCATATGACTCTCCATTACAGACTGAAGAGGCATTGCCTGGTCATGAACATAAGAGAAGCCAATGTTGGATCAGGCCAGTGATCCATCCAGTCCAACACTCTGCGTCACACAGTAGCCAAAACCCAGGTGCCGTCGGGAGGTCCACCGGAACTCCAGAAGCTCTCCCACTCTTGCCCCCAGATGCACCAATAAGATAGAGCATCACTGCCCCAGACAGTGACTTCCATCTATACCTAGTGGCTGATAGCCACTGATTGGCCTCTGTTCCATATGTTTATCCAGTCCCCTCTTGAAGCTATTGATCTAATTTGATTTATTACATTTCTACCCTGCCCTCCCGGCCGAGGCCAGCTCAGGGCAGTTTATATAAAACGACCTAAAATTTTACAATACACCTAAAATATATTACAATATTCATAAAATAGATTAACGACAGCAAATTAACAGTTAGACAAATCTAAAACCATTTAAGCCATCTCTCCCTTATATATAATTGAGTAAGACGCAGCGTAAGACTGAGCGGAGACAAAATGCGCTCCGTCAGCCATTGGCTGGCCAGCTGCCGCTTAAGGCTGCTGCCATGCCATTGGCTGGGAGGCGGGAGGCAAACGCTGTGTGCAAACGGTGCGGCGCCATTGGCGATGCGCCCCTCGCCGCCACCCCATTTCCCTCCTCCACCCACCCATCCACCCATCTAGTTGGAGCCCGCTGGCGGCCAAACTGACGGGAGAATCTTTTGCAGGCCCCCCTGCCTCCCCCTTCCTTCCTCTCTCTCTCTCCCCCACCCCAATTTCTTCCTTCCTTTCTCTCTCTCTCTCTCTTTTTCCTTCCTTCCTTCCTTCCTTCCTTCCTTCCTTCCTTCCTTCTTCCACCCAACCTACCTTTCTAGGCGCCCGTTGTCTCCGTCCACAACGGGCTTTGCTCCCTAGTGGATATAATAAAGTGGTAGTTTCAGTAATTTCAGTAATTTCACAGCGGTAGTTGTTACTCAAATCCTCTCCCTTCGCAGTCAGCTCTTTGATCTTCTTAGGTCATCTTAGGCGGCTGGCTCGGGCTGTAGTTAGAAATCCCAAAGGGGGGGCGGAGACAAGGCTCCCCGATCTCAAGCTGTCAGTTGTTAGTAGTGGGGGCGGCTCCAAAAGCCTGGTGGAAGAGCTCCGTGTTACAGGGCTATGTTTGCAGCCACTCCTGCCGCAGTGAATTCCACGTGTTAATGATTCTTTGGGCGAATAAATACTTCCTTTTATCTGTTCTAAGCCTACTGCTCATCAATTTCATGGAGTGCCCACGAGTTCTTATATTGTGAGGAACAGGGGGGGGGGAGTACTCCTTTCTCTATCTTCTCCATCCCACGCATAATTTTGTAAACCTCGATCATGTCACCCCTCAATTGTCGTTTTTCCACGCTGAAGAGCCCTAACCTCTTTAGACTTCCTTCATAGGGAAGGTCTTCCATCTCCTTAATCATTTTAGTTGCCCTTTTCTGCACTTTTCCCAATGCTATAAGAGAACTAGGCCCGCACTTATTGTAAGATCAGTTGGTTGTTGTGATACAGAGGCACGTATTATGTAGAATATTTTTAAAAGAGTAAATCCAAGATTTTGGCAGCTGAAGGGCAAACTATACATTCCATGGCAGCTGCAGTGAGCAGAAGCCTCCGTTGGAACTGGCAGCTGAAATGGACAAGTTGACAAATATATTAAAAGGAAAAATGGAAGAAGAATTTATGGGACCCTGGAGGGCGTTTTACGACTGGTTAAAACTTAAGTATTGAGAAAATAAGATTAAGTGAAGAATAATAAGAATGATAGTTGAAGTAGTTGTAACATTGTAATGAGAAGATATGCATGCAGAACGCTAAATTCGGATTTTTAATATCTCTGTATTTTTCTTTTCTACCTTCCATTCCCCTTCCCCCTTTTCTGTATATAAACTAATTTAAAAATTCAAAAAAAAAAAAAATGGCAGCCGCCCCCCCCCCAAGAAGGCGAGTCTCACCGTTGTATCCCAGCGATGCAACCTGAAGGGTGGAGCTGTTATCTGAGAGAATGCCAGATCCCTGTTCCAGCTCTGCCTGTTCCAGTTCAGGCTTTGAGACCACAGTGCCTCGTGTGCTAGAGAAGAGAAATTCAGAAGCATGAAAACCAAGTCATTCATCATCGCTCACGTTAATAATAATTAATAATGATCAGATGGCACTGTGTGTAGTATAGCCAGGAGATCCTAAGACTGTCTGGCAGCCAAGAGCTCTACTTCTTTAGCGTTATGCACCACTAGGTGGCGACCTAGACTTGTTTTTAAGGCAAGAGACGTTTCAGAGGTGGTTTGCCATTGTCTGCCTCTGCATCACGACCCTGGTATTCCTTGGAGGTCGCCCTTCCAAATACTACCCAAGGCCGACCCTGCTTAGCCTCTAACTCCTTGACTTCCTAGGCCTCTGAGACACATCCTGACCTCTCTCTGCCTCTGCTGGTGACTCCATGCCTCTTTGCTCCCCAAACAATCTCAACAACGATCAGTCCTAAGCGCTCAGTTTCTTTCCCTCCTTCCACACATAAACACAAACTGGGAGGGGCTGTGGCTCACTGGCAGAGCATCTGCTCGGCATGTAGAAGGTCCCAGGCTCACTCTCTAGCATCTCCAGTCAAAGGACAAGGTAGCAGGTGATGTGGAAGACCTCGGCCAGCCTGGGTAAACGCTGACTTTGACGGACTAAAGGTCTGATTCAGTTCCACCACAGTGAAGATCTTCTTCATCCAAGCCTCCCAGGAAACTCATCTTCACGCCAGCCCTAAGTATGCAGTTCCGCCACAAGGACTTGTCCAGCGCCTAGCACACAGCTGGAGCTCAGCAGAGCTTAAGTAAAGGTAAAGGTTCCCTTGCTCGAAAGCCAGTTGAGTCCGACTCTAGGGTTGCGGTGCTCATCTCCGTTTCAAAGCCGAAGAGCCGGCGCTGTCCGAAGACGTTTCCGTGGTCATGTGGCTGGCATGACTAAACACCAAGGCGCACGGAACGCTGTGACCTTCCCACCAAAGTGGTACCTATTTATCTACTTGCCATTTCTTGCTTTCGAACTGCTAGGTTGGCAGGAGCTGGAACTAGAGACGGGAGCTCACTCCGTCATGCGGCAACCCGGGTCTCGAACTGCTGAACTACCGACCTTCCACAGCCTGCAGTTCAGTGTCTTAACCACTTGAGCCACCGCTTAAGTACTTGTTGTTAAAATCAGAGAATCAAAGACTCAAGAACAGGCACACAAGACGGGAACTCTCCTGGGGCTCTGCCTCTGTGAAGGGGGTGGGTGGCCGGGTTCCTCCTGGCAACTGGCGGAGGATGGGGTGGGGGTGGGGGACTTATGGGGAGTAGGAGGGAGGCCCAGCTGATGTTGCAGCAATGTGCCTACATCACTGCCCATGGAACCTGGAGGTGACATCATCACACAGCGATGTGTGATGCTCTGGTATTGGGGGCAGAAGCGGAATTTGGCTTCTATCATAGAGTTTTACCCAAATACCAGAGTGTCACCCTGATGTCCCCAATGGGATGACATCACTTCCAAGTCGTGGAACAGCGGTCACTGGGTTTGTGGGGGTGTGTGTGGGGGGAGGTA